GGAGAAATCATGCTTATTAAGGCTGGGAAATTGGAACTGGCAGGAAGATTGGGATGCTGGTGTGGAGTGGAGGGTGGTGGATAACTTGCATATATGTGGAATAGTGTTTATGGAGGATCAAGTGTGGTCCAGAGAGGTGAACTCCGAGCATATTGTGGAACAGGTGCAGCATAGATTGGGGAGTTTGCGACCATGCCATTTGACATTGTTGCAGAGGGCCATCATGGTAAACACGTTACTATATAGTAAAGTTTGGAACGTGGCGGCAGTTTACCCCATAACGGGGCAAGGAATTACTAGAATCTTAAAGAGGGTGTTTAAGTTTATATGGGGTTCTGGGTGTGATTGACTGAGGAGGGAGGTGGTAATGCTGCTGGAACGTTAGGGGGGTTAGGGTTATTGCATCTGCGGCGTTGGGTAAAATGTGTTTACTTACGAAGGGAGTATGTACGAGTCGGGGGGTGTGGGGGGGTTAAAGCTTCTGTATGAGGGAGTGAAGAGATGGTATGTGGGTGCAGAGTTGAGGGAATGTGAGGAGGTGCTGCATACCCTCATGGTCCTATGGGAGCCTGCCAAGATTTGCGTGGGGGTGTTGGCAAGAGTGATTGGGAGCCAGGTGGTGGTGCTGGTGGAGGGAATATACCCCATGTATGGATGGGGAGATATTTGGTGTCATTTTCGTAAGCTGAAGCTCTGGCCTCAGGTGCGGGAGGTTATGTTCCGTTTCTTGCATGACATTTTGCCATCAGGAGCGGTTCTACGGGCGAGATGAGTAGTGGAGGAGAGTGGGTGTGGGGTGTGTGGTGGAGAGAATACAGCATATGATGCCGTGTATTTTTGCGAATGTTTGGGGAATGTTCGGGATTGGATGAGTGGGATAGTGAGGAGACTGGGAGGGGGTTGCATACCGGTGTTGAGAGCACTCGTTTTGGATGTTGGAGGGGTGCCGCAGAGTACACAAAGAGTATTGGCATATTTAATGGTAGCTTTTTTGTATGTGTTCTGGGATATGCGTGGAAATGGGGATTGGGTTGCGAGGAAATGGGTGATGGCAGCTACTTTCTATAGGACGGTTTGCAGGAATAGGGAAATATATGGATTGCGGTGGGAGGGAGCCTTCCCCGCAAGTTATCATTGTTTTACTGTTGGGATCTTACTAGTTTTGTAGCAGGAGGGGGGGGGGTTGTCATGGCTGGTGCAAAGTTTGGGAATGTCATACGGGGTTCCAATGGGCTCGCCGTCGGGAGTGTGAGTGTGTGTGTGTATATGTGTGTATATGTGTGTGTGTGTGTGTGTGTGTGTGTGTGGTATGGACGTATGGCTTAGGCGTAAACAAGGGATGGTTCAGTGTGGTTGGTAGGTGGTAGGATGTAAGTGTGATAACAGCTTGAATAAAAGTACGATCCAGTTTGGTTGTGGGAATTTTTTATTTATACTTTTGCGTACGTGTTCCACGGGATGATGACCGTATTCCTCTAAGTATATATAGCCTTGCACATGCTTGGTCACTTACTATCACACCTATATTAGAGGATGGAGGTATAAATTTTTTTAGATGTAATGTATGCGTGTATGCTATAAGGATGCTTGGGTGAGGTTCGTAGTGATTGTGATACTGTCGCGATGTGACAGGTTATATGCTCATGTACGGCTAGAAGAATGTGTGACAGGGTCATTTGTAATGACGAGAGAAAGTGGGCGGTTGCCCAAATGGGGGGGGAAGAGGGGGGGAGAGGGGGAAGAGGGGGGAAAGGAGTGACAGAGAAACTGAATTTGCAGCTTGCTAGTGTCTCTTTTATACACCTTAGTTTTGCACATTTACGTTTGTGCAGTGAATAGGTTGTGATAGGGTAGTTTTTATTTATGTGTTCGCATTAAGTTATAGAAGCCAGTGCTGTGAACTTGATTTTGTTGATAACCTTTACAGTACATGATGATATATCAATGTATTTGTACAACAATATGATAATTTAGTAATTGTGGCCAGTGTTTTTGTTGGAGGTGTGTGTACCTCAGGCGGAGGTGTGTGTACCTCTGGTACACTTGTTACCTCTGGTACACTTGTTACCTCTGGTATACTTGTTACCTCTGGTACACTTGTTACCTCTGGTACACTTGTTACCTCTGGTACACTTGTTACCTCTGGTATACTTGTTACCTCTGGTACACTTGTTACCTCTGGTACACTTGTTACCTCTGGTATACTTGTTACCTCTGGTATACTTGTTACCTCTGGTACACTTGTTACCTCTGGTACACTTGTTACCACTGGTATACTTGTTACCTCTGGTATACTTGTTACCTCTGGTACACTTGTTACCACTGGTATACTTGTTACCTCTGGTACACTTGTTACCTCTGGTATGCTTGTTACCTCTGGTATACTTGTTACCTCTGGTATGCTTGTTACCTCTGGTATGCTTGTTACCTCTGGTATACTTGTTACCTCTGGTACACTTGTTACCTCTGGTACACTTGTTACCACTGGTATACTTGTTACCTCTGGTATACTTGTTACCTCTGGTACACTTGTTACCTCTGGTACACTTGTTACCTCTGGTATACTTGTTACCTCTGGTATACTTGTTACCTCTGGTATACTTGTTACCTCTGGTACACTTGTTACCTCTGGTATACTTGGTACCTCTGGTATACTTGTTACCTCTGGTATACTTGGTACCTCTGGTATACTTGGTACCTCTGGTATATTTGTTACCTCTGGAATAGTTGTTACCTCTGGTACACTTGTTACCTCTGGTACACATGTTACCTCTGGTATACTTGTGACCTCTGGAATACTTGTTACCTCTGGTATACTTGTTACCTCTGGTATACTTGTTACCTCTGGTATACTTGTTACATCTGGTACACTTGTTACCTCTGGTATACTTGTTACCTCTGGTATACTTTTTACCTCTGGCATACTTGTTACCTCTGGTACACTTGTTACCTCTGGCACACTTGTTACCTCTGGTATACTTGTTACCTCTGGTATACTTGTTACCTCTTGTATACTTGTTACCTCTGGTACACTTGTTACCTCTGGTATACTTGTTACCTCTGGTACACTTTTTACCTCTGGTATACTTGTTACCTCTGGTATACTTTTTACCTCTGGTATACTTGTTACCTCTGGTACACTTGTTACCTCTGGTTATAACTTGTTACCTCTGGTATACTTGTTACCTCTGGTATACTTGTTACCTCTGGTATACTTGTTACCTCCGGTACACTTGTTACCTCTGGTACACTTGTTAACTCTGGTATACTTGTTACCTCTGGTACACTTGTTACCTCTGGTACACTTGTTACCTCTGGTACACTTGTTACCTCTGGTACACTTGTTACCTCTGGTATACTTGTTACCTCTGGTACACTTGTTACCTCTGGTATACTTGTTACCTCTGGTATACTTGTTACCTCTGGTACACTTGTTACCTCTGGTACACTTGTTACCTCTGGTACACTTGTTACCTCTGGTATACTTGTTACCTCTGGTATACTTGTTACCTCTGGTATACTTGTTACCTCTGGTACACTTGTTACCTCTGGTACACTTGTTACCTCTGGTATACTTGTTAACTCTGGTATACTTGTTACCTCTGGTACACTTGTTACCTCTGGTACACTTGTTACCTCTGGTATACTTGTTACCTCTGGCATACTTGTTACCTCTGGTATACTTGTTACCTCTGGTATACTTGTTACCTCTGGTATACTTGTTACCTCTGGTATACTTGTTACCTCTGGTATACTTGTTACCTCTGGTATACTTGTTACCTCTGGTATACTTGTTACCTCTGGTATACTTGTTACCTCTGGTACACTTGTTACCTCTGGTACACTTGTTACCTCTGGTATACTTGTTACCTCTGGTATACTTGTTACCTCTGGTACACTTGTTACCTCTGGTATACTTGTTACCTCTGGTATACTTGTTACCTCTGGTATACTTGTTACCTCTGGTATACTTGTTACCTCTGGTACACTTGTTACCTCTTGTATACTTGTTACCTCTGGTACACTTGTTACCTCTGGTACACTTGTTACCTCTGGTATACTTGTTACCTCTGGTACACTTGTTACCTCTGGTATACTTGTTACCTCTGGTATACTTGTTACCTCTGGTATACTTGTTACCTCTGGTACACTTGTTACCTCTGGTACACTTGTTACCTCTGGTATACTTGTTACCTCTGGTATACTTGTTACCTCTGGTACACTTGTTACCTCTGGTACACTTGTTACCTCTGGTATACTTGTTACCTCTGGCATACTTGTTACCTCTGGTACACTTGTTACCTCTGGTATACTTGTTACCTCTGGTACACTTGTTACCTCTGGTATTACTTTGTACCTCTGGTATACTTGTTACTCTGGTACACTTGTTACTTCTGGTATACTTGTTACCTCTGGTATACTTGTTACCTCTGGTATTACTTGTTACCTCTGGTATACTTGTTACCTCTGGTATTACTTGTTACCTCTGGTATACTTGTTACCTCTGGTACACTTGTTACCTCTGGTACACTTGTTACCTCTGGTACACTTGTTACCTCTGGTATACTTGTTACCTCTGGTATACTTGTTACCTCTGGTATACACTTGTTACCTCTGGTATACTTGTTACCTCTGGTATACTTGTTACCTCTGGTATACTTGTTACCTCTGGTATACTTGTTACCTCTGGTATACTTGTTACCTCTGGTACACTTGTTACCTCTGGTACACTTGTTACCTCTGGTAACTTGTTACCTCTGGTACACTTGTTACCTCTGGTATACTTGTTACCTCTGGTACACTTGTTACCTCTGGTACACTTGTTACCTCTGGATACTTGTTACCTCTGGACTACTTGTTACCTCTGGTAACTTGTTACCTCTGGATACTTGTTACCTATGTATACTTGTTACCTCATGCAGTTAACTTGTGTATTTTTTAATTATACAGTATTGTACTATAGTTACAACACAGACTTCAACTGACTATTTTGTTTTCAGATCTGATAAATCCGTTGGATGAATCAAGTGATGAAGAATCAGATGAATCAAGTGATGAAGAATCAGATGAATCAAGTGATGAAGAATCAGATGAATCAAGTGATGAAGAATCAGATGAATCAAGTGATGAAGAATCAGATGAATCAAGTAATGAAGAATCAGATGAATCAAGTGATGAAGAATCAGATGAATCAAGTGATGACGAATCAGATGAATCAAGTGATGAAGAATCAGATGAATCAAGTGATGAAGAATCAGATGAATCAAGTGATCAAAAATCGATGATCAAGTGTATGAGAATCATGATCATCTGTGATCAACAAATCAGTTGTATCAAGTTGTATGAGAATTAGTTAATCTTTGGAATCAGATTTGCATCGTGTGTGAGCCAGAACGTGAGCCACCAGAGCCATGTCCCTGTGGTTAAGCTTGTGTTTACCTGGAGTTTACCTGGAGAGGTTCAGGTAAACTTTGTGTACAAGAGTTTGAATTTGTTTCAACAACAGAGTTAACACAGGTGTTCTGTACCACTCGTCACACCCTTTGTGTGGTTTACCTGGATGTTTACCTGGAAGGGTTCAGGGGTCAATTCCCCTCGCGGCACGGTCTGAGACCATGTCCTTATGGTGGATCAGGGTTTTAGATCAACCTCAGTGCTTAACTGCTGGCATCAGCAAGCGAACGTAGAACCCAGCCCGTTGGTCAGGTAACTGATTTTAGGTGCCTGTACAGTGTCTCTGAATGACAGCCAGGAGTATATTGGTAATCCCCTTATGATGTGGAGGCAATTATAACACGTCTGGGGTACCCGGACGACTTAAGTGTGTGGTGTCTCAGTGTAGACTGTGGCAGGACCTCTGCTTTTCATCGGGGAATGTTGCATTCCTGCGAGTCTTAAAGCATCTTTTTCAATACTCATATACATCAATCTGCATGTAATTAAGGTTTACAGCAAGAGACATCCCCTGGAGAGATGCCTAAAGAGCCACCAGACTCAGCCGATTACTGAGGAAAGGGTAGTTAGTAGAGACCTTGAAAACTGTAGTCGAGGATCAATCCAGGATTGTTATCTGGTATTTGGAAGATCACAGTAGCAGCCTGAAGAAGGAATGTATCAAGGCACTGAATCAAGGGAGGTAACCCCAGACGGTATGTTAAGGCAAGGGGGGCGGGGTTCTTTGAGAACTGTGTGCAATTGTACTTCTGGTATCAGTTAAGCATGTGCTAATATTTTGTATATTATGAGATTGTAAAAATTTTCTTTTGTTGGAGCCGAAAACCTGAGGTTCCCTTGTAATGTATTCAACTGTAAGCTGTTTATCTGGGTATGTTTTGCTTCCCCTTTTGAGTTATGTATATAAGGTGAACTTGTCAGGATTTTAATTATTTTTGTCACTTTCTAGATAGAGTCAAGCCCCTGATAAGGTGCCTACTGTTCAATTTTCAGGTCAATCTACCCTAAGACCCACTACTTATCAGGATCACTTCCATCTTATACCTATCATGTATTATTTCTCACTGGGTTTTTCCTGCTCTGACCCAAATTCCGTATGTCCCCCTTATCGTATGACTTTTGCTATTTTTACCTCTTCCACTGTTGAAAGAGCAGGCTGTGGCACCTTTTTCCTGAGATAATAGAGTGCTATCTTCTTCTCCCTCAAAATTAAGTCATTTCTCCTATTATTTGTTTCCAATATTGCCATACTTTTGTCAACTTTGAGGGAACAGACAATATGGCATCGTCTGGTGCTCAGGTCGAACCCAGGGTGCGCCTCAGACGGGAACTGCATTTCAACAGTGGCAGGAGTAAGGTAACTAACACCAAGGGTACCTACTTACTGCAAAGGGAAGAGGAGCAAAATGTGTAACGTGATTAATACCCAGGTACCTCCTTACTACTAGGTGAACAATGGTAGCATACAACAACATACGATCAATTATCTTACACAAAAAATTTCAACAGTGTTGTTATAGATAATAATACTATCAAAAGGGTACACAAGCACCAAGAACACATACAACTACTATTTATTACACCAGCACCACCACCTTGCTACACCAGCACCACCACCTTGTACACCAGCACCACCACCTTGCTACACCAGCACCACCACCTTGCTACACCAGCACCACCACCTTGCTACACCAGCACCACCACCTTGCTACACCAGCACCACCACTTGCTACACCAGCACCACCACCTTGCTACACCAGCACCACCACCTTGCTACACCAGCACACCACCTTGCTACACCAGCACCACCACCTTGCTACACCAGCACCACCACCTTGCTACACCAGCACACCACCTTGCTACACCAGCACCACCACCTTGCTACACCAGCACCACCACCTTGCTACACCAGCACCACCACCTTGCTACACCAGCACCACCACCTTGCTACACCAGCACCACCACCTTGCTACACCAGCACCACCACCTTGCTACACCAGCACCACCACCTTGCTACCCCCAGCCCCCACCACCTTGCTACCCCAGCACCACCCCCTTTGCTACACCAGCCCCACCACCTTGCTACACCAGCACCACCACCTTGCTACACCGCACACCACTGCTACACCAGCACCCCATTGCTTACACCAGCCCCACCACCTTGCTAAAACCAGCACCCCAAACTTGTTTACACCAGCACCAGGTACACACACAATGCTACCTTGCTACACCAGCACCGGGTTTACACCCCACAACTCTACTTGTTTACACCGCACCAGGTTACACACACAACTGCTACCTTGCTACACCAGCACCAGGTACACACACAACTGCTACCTTGCTACACCAGCACCAGGTACACACACAACTGCTACCTTGCTACACCAGCACCAGGTACACACACAGCAGCTACCTTGCTACACCAGCACCAGGTACACACACAACTGCTACCTTGCTGCACCAGCACCAGGTACACACACAACTGCTACCTTGCTACACCAGCACCACCACCTTGCTACACCAGCACCACCACCTTGCTACACCAGCACCACCACCTTGCTACACCAGCACCAGGTACACACACAACTGCTACCTTGCTACACCAGCACCAGGTACACACACAACTACTACCTTGCTTACACCGCACCAGGTACACACACAACTGCTACCTTGCTACACCAGCACCAGGTACACACACAACTGCTACCTTGCTACACCAGCACCAGGTACACACACAACTGCTACCTTGCTACACCAGCACCAGGTACACACACAGCAGCTACCTTGCTACACCAGCACCAGGTACACACACAACTGCTACCTTGCTGCACCAGCACCAGGTACACACACAACTACTACCTTGCTACACCAGCACCAGGTACACACACAACTGCTACCTTGCTACACCAGCACAGGTACAAAACACAACTGCTACCTTGCTAAAACCAGCACCAGGTACACACACAACTACTACCTTGCTACACCAGCACAAGGTACACACACAACTGCTACCTTGCTACACCAGCACCAGGTACACACACAACTGCTCCCTTTTGCTACACCAAAACCAGGTACACACAAACTGCTACCTTGCTTACTCCAGCACCAGGTACACACACAATGTTACCTTGCTTACACCAGCACCAGGTACACACACAACTGCTCCTTTGCTACACAGCACCAGGTACACAACTGCTCCCTTGCAACACCAGCATCAGGTTACACACAAACTGCTACCTTTCTACACCAGCACCAGGTACACACACAACTACTGCCTTGCTACACCAGCACCAGGTACACACACAACTGCTACCTTGCTACACCAGCACCAGGTACACACACAACTGCTACCTTGCTACACCAGCACCAGGTACACACACAACTACTGCCTTGTTTCACCAGCACCAGGTACAACACAACTGCTCCGTGCTACACCAGCCCAAGGTACCCCCAAAACTGCTATCTTGCTACACCAGCACCAGGTACACACACAACTGTTACCTTGCTACACCAGCACCAGGTACACACACAACTGCTATATTGCTACACCAGCACCAGGTACACACACAACTGCTACCTTGCTACACCAGCACCAGGTATACACACAACTGCTACCTTGCTACACCAGCACCAGGTACACACACAACTGCAAACTTGCTACACAGCACCAGGTACACACACACAACTGCTACCTGCTACACAGCACCAGGTACACACACAACTGCTACCTTGCTACACCAGCACCGGGTTTACACACACAACTGCTACCTTGCTACACCAGCATCAGGTACACACACAACTGCCTCCCTTTCCCTACACCAGCACCAGAAACCACACACAACTGCTACCTTGCTACACCAGCATCAGGTACACACACAACTACTACCTTGCTACACCAGCATCAGGTACACACACAACTGCTACCTTCCTACACCAGCACCAGATACACACACAACTGCTACCTTGCTACACCAGCACCAGGTACACACACAAAAACTACTTGCAAACCCAGCACCGGTACACACACAACTGCTACCTTGCTAAACCAGCAACCAGGTACACACACAACTGCTACCTTCCACCCAGCACCAGATACACACACAACTGCTACCTTGCTACACCAGCATCAGGTACACACACAACTGCTACCTTCCTACACCAGCACCAGATACACACACAACTGCTACCTTGCTACACCAGCATCAGTTACACACACGACTACTACCTTACAACACCAGCACCAGCATCTAGCTACACTAGCACAAGCACCTTGCAACACCAGCACCAGCACCTAGCTACACTAGCACAAGCACCTTACAACACCAGCACCAGCATCTAGCTACACTAGCACAAGCACCTTGCAACACCAGCACCAGCATCTAGCTACACTAACACAAGTACCTTACAACACCAGCACCAGCATCTAGCTACACTAGCACAAGCACCTTGCAACACCAGCACCAGCATCTAGCTACACTAGCACAAGCACCTTGCAACACCAGCACCAGCATCTAGCTACACTAGCACAAGCACCTTGCAACACCAGCACCAGCATCTAGCTACACTAGCACAAGCACCTTGCAACACCAGCACCAGCACCTAGCTACACTAGCACAAGCACCTTGCAACACCAGCACCAGCACCTAGCTACACTAGCACAAGCACCTTGCAACACCAGCACCAGCACCTAGCTACACTAACACAAGCACCTTGCAACACCAGCACCAGTACCTAGCTACACTAGCACAAGCACCTTGCAACACCAGCACCAGCACCTAGCTACACTAGCACAAGCACCTTGCAACACCAGCACCAGCAT